CAGAGACTGGCGAAACGTCAGGAAGAACAACCTTCAGAACATGGCCAAAGACCCTGAAAAACCCACAACAGCCATCAGATCCCAGCTGTGAAAGCCTTTGAGAATACAGATTATAGATTAATTATATTGTTTTATTTGCAGGGGAAATGGGGCCCATGGTAGTTGAAACTTTGAAACTTGGCATTGCTATTTTAAATGGAGGTAACCCCGTTGTCCAACAGGTAACCATATTTTTGAGTTCTATACCTTTACATGTGTCTTACTTTGAAACAGTTAATACTTACTTTTAAAGATATTCATAACTTAAGAGTTATAGATTAATTATATTGTTTTATTTGCAGGGGAAATGGGGCCCATGGTAGTTGAAACTTTGAAACTTGGCATTGCTATTTTAAATGGAGGTAACCCCGTTGTCCAACAGGTAACCATATTTTTGAGTTCTATACCTTTACATGTGTCTTACTTTGAAACAGTTAATACTTACTTTTAAAGATATTCATAACTTAAGAGAAAATTATATATGTCTTAATGCAGTCGTGCAGGAGTGAATAATGAAGGAAACCTGGTTTTTTTGAACATAAGTCAAATAATAGCACAATTTACTAGTGCCATTGAAGAAAAAAAATCTTGACCAGTATTGTTAGAAAAAACAACAGCTTGTTTCAATGCAAGCTTTCTTCAATTTTTCCCCCCAGAAAATGTTGGACTATCTGAAGGAGAAAAAAGATGCTGGATTTTTTCAGTCTCTCTCTGGCTTAATGCAGTCTTGCAGGTAAAGACCCAAACTAGTGTGATACTTTTAACTGTACCTCAGTGCATCTTTACACATGCAGGTTGGATACCTCTTCTGTCCATGTAATCTTTCACAACCAGTGGAAGGTCTTGGACTGAGACTGGGCTGAGAAAGTCAGAGCAAATTCAGAATAAGGCCAAAATAATTAAAATAGGCACAATTCCAGGAACTGATCTAGTTTGGTCCATCTGTCTCAAAAAGTAAGTTTTATCCAGTATGGATTTGGCAGAATGTGACCTAGACGTTACTGTATACCATAACATCCTTACTTTACATTTCTAACTTTTAAAATTTTTATTTATTTATTTTCGAGAGGGTTATATTTTCAGTCACCAAGCCAGGTGTGTGGGCATACACCTACATTTTCTTCTGGAAGTGCCTCTATAGAACATTGGGGATCTCTTTAAAACCAAGGTCCAGTAGTGTACTGAACACCATTTGCCAATAGAACTGGGACTCTCTTATGTTTCCCCTGCTACTACAGCCGCCTCTGGCACACAGTCTCTGTTCCATGTTTCCTAGGCCTTTGTAGCAGTTTTTAAAGGTGTTACAGGCCATTGCAGGAGGAAATGAAGGACTGCCAGTTCTGGGGAAAGCAATGGACCTACACCAGTGGATCCTGGTGGTCCTCTTTAAAGCAGCAACTGGATTTGACACCAGTGCAAGTACTGTTTCACCATCTGGTCACTTTTGAAAAATTAGAGGGATGTTTACCACAGACTTTGGTGCAGCTAAATTTCCAACTTTAATTTTTATCCTTTATAAACCAATACTACTCGCTGTTACTGTTTGAATGTGTTGTTGTAGCTGAGTGCAAACAGTTCAAGGTCTCTCTGTTGCTATTAGTTTCAGCAGTACTTTCTCAATTGTCTTTTTGTTTGTTTGTTAAAAGTGTTCTTGACTTGAATGCCTTTGAGAGACAAAATAAAGCAGAAGGCCTTGGAATGGTTACTGAGGAAGGAACACGTAAGTACATTAATACAATACTTCTTTCTATATACATAAAGTTTGCATTTCATTCTTTTTATTTTGACACCAACATTTTCAGATCCTCAAGGGTTTTTAAACTGATAGGCTTGTTAAAATTATGTAGCAAAAAGCTGTTCAGTTTTTTTTTAAGTTTCCAAAAGAAATAGTTAAAGAAAAGCTATTATGTAACTTACAACTTGCTTATCCTGTTTATTTATTATTTTTCTTTAATCCACAGTCATCGTACGTGAGCGTGGTATGTTTGGGTTTACAGCTTTTGATGCTATTGTGTGTTGCAAATACAGAAAGAAATCTTCTTTAATTGCATCTTTCTAGACATCTTTTAGGTTTAGTTTCATGGTCTGCAGCCAGTTACATGTTGAGCCTGGAGAAACAATTTGATGTCTAATTAAAGAAGTGTCTTTCATATCTAAGGCATGATTTGATAATGACTAACCATTTCCTATTAGACCTTTAGTCCTGTAGTTTTGATCATTAATGCTTTGGAGTGCTAAATTTTTTGGTTTTGCTTTTTTTCTGTTTTGTAGTTTCTTTTTATCATTCTCCCCAGTACATTTATTTTTAAAAGTACTGTAAATTTGCTTACAGTATTTGCTTTTTTAAATTTAAAATCACTTAGTTTGGAGGATGCTATTGGAAGAGTCTATGTTCTGCATGTTTTAAAAGCGACTGATGGTTGCATAATTCATTGTACTGTATATTTTCAAGGTGAGAAAGTACTACAGAATGATGAGTTTACTAAAGATCTCTTTAGATTTTTACAACTGCTGTGTGAAGGTCATAACAATGGTAAGTGGGCTGCAATAAGTTTCAGCAATTTACTTTTATTTAATTTTTTTGAGAGATTAAATAATTCAATGTTTTTCCAATATAAATTGATTTTTAGATCTTTAATAATAAAATTAATTAGTTTCTCAGATGAAATGATATCTCAGAATTCTCTAAAAGTTTTTATGTACAGGCTTCTCAACTAGAAATCGAGCTGAGATTTTGTGAACTGTGTATAACTGATAGAATAAGCTATGCAAGATGATATACAAATATAATTCCTTACAGTTCTCACTAAAGAAAATTTATAGTTACATTAGGCACAGTGTAGTAATATTTTTCACTACCAACAGTTAAAATATAATGTTCCTGTGAATGCATTTGTGTGACTCTAATTTTTATTTTCTTTATGAACACAATTATGGATATATTTCTGGATACTTTATATTTTTCATTTACTTACCACTTTAATTAATTTATCTTTCAGATTTTCAGAACTATCTACGAACTCAGATGGGCAATACCACAACAGTGAATATTATTATCAGCACAGTTGATTATCTCTTGCGTCTTCAGGTAAGATGAAGAGTATTTTTTATTATTTCATTCCATTGCTTCATTTCTTATTTTGAGGAATCTCTGTATAGCTGTAAGCCTTTGGCTTTCATCACTCTTATGATTTTATCCTCTTCTTAGAGCTTCATTGATACTGTGTGCTCTTGTACCTCCCTGTTACATTTTGCAGCTTTTATTTTATTGTTGACTGTTTTACTTGTATCTTAAGGATTTTCCTGTAACCAACTTGGTTGTCTGTTTGGACAGGATTTGTCTCAAAATTCAGCACTTGGAGGAGTGTGGTGAGTGACTCATATCCACAAGCAAGGCATGATATACAGATACTTCAAAATTACAACTGAATCATGCTCTCACATTTTGGTCCTCCTTTTTTTGTCCTGCTTCCAAGTATTAAATTAGACTTGGGTCTAAAGCAGACTTGGGAAACTTGTGGCCTTGTTGTTAGACAGTAACTTCCAGCATAGCCAAAGTAGGGAGATGATGGGACTTGTAGATCCCTCCAAGACCATCTGGAAGAGTACACATATTTCCACACTAGGAGTGAACATTCAGTATATTCGTACTTGCACTGGGATATAGGAGGCATAAGGGAGCCAGTGGAATGAAGCTGGTGAATAAACAGGCTGCAATATTATTTGTTTAGTATACAAAAATGGTACCGGTGTTTTCCAACTGAATCCCATAGAGGAAACTTGTTATTAGGGCAAAACCAATATATAACAGACTCCTTGAGGTTTGGTTATGGCATTGTGAATGGGGCCACTGAGGAGATTCTAAACTAATGCTGTCATTTTTAAATGATTCCAAAGAGTAAGAAAGATAAACTAATAAACTGGCAATGTGGTTTGTTATTTCCCAGCTGAATATTGGTAATGCAAATATTCCTGAAAGTTGATTAGGAAGCAGTGGTCTGCGAGCAGTTCACTGAAGGGGTGTAAGTCCTCATTAGTCTTGCCCTTACATCTGAGGACATGGAAGTACAAAATTATTCCACTACTCTGTGAGAGGCCAAGCTATTTTGTGAGAGTAGACAACAGAAGAGAACAAGAACCAGCCTTTTTTGCTTAAATTAAAGACAATTATGCAAATAGCACTATAATGCATCATTGCATAGTTTACTACTGCTATTCTGGATATTTTGGATGTTTTAGCACATTGAAATAGCATTCTAATGCAAACAGTGCAAAGCATGCGAAATGCCAATAGAAAAGGATTAAAAGCATCAGAAGGCTAGTTGGCATCTTTTTAAACTATTGGCCAGTCATTCTGTGCTTGGTTTATGTTTTGATTTAATTATGATACTAGTTTTGTGTGGACACAGTTTGAACTGATTATGAAAAACCTGACAGGAATACATTGCATTTGTTCTGCCCTTGCCTTGAGATGAGAAGCAAGACTTCAAAATTCCTCATCAAGGTGTCTTTAGTCAAGATAGCCTAAATTTATGAGAACAGTGAATTTGATAAGAATTCTTTATATCTCTAGCTCAGGATGATCTGAACATTCCACAGAGGTTATATATAACATTTATCCAGTGACAAGTTAAGTTAAATCAACAGTAAATGAACCGCCATCATGACCAGATCCTGAATCATAATTGAAAGAGTTTCTAGGCTAGTGGATCTTCTGCTGAGAAGACCAAGTGCCATAAAAGTTAGGAGGATGTCTACAGATCTTTTTTTCATTGTAGCATTCTGGAGCACTTTTTCCAGTCTCCTTTGTCTTCTGTTGACATAATCAACTTTTCATGCCAAATTCAGGTAGCTAACTCTAAAAGCCTTTTACAAATCTTATTATTTACTTAATGTATAGTAATGATGAAGACAGGAGGGCCTGGCTTGCTCTGGTCCATGGGGTCACGAAGAGTCATACACGACTAAATGACTAAGCAACAACAATGATGTTCTAGATATTTTGCAGTTTGAGGACATTATTCTATTATTTTTAGTGCATACTGTATAAAGTAAGATGGCTGGAATCTTACTGGCAATCTGTGCTTGTGTAAGTGAAATCACAAAAGTTGCAGCAGTGAGTTGCCACTAATTAACAAGGTGCCAGTTGCATTCCTAATTGTTTGGTTCTTATACAAATAGGGACAAGACCAGGAATGTAAATAGCATTGCAATGATGACTTACACATTTTCATTCATATTTGTGTAAATCACCAGAAGGAATCTGGCCATTGCATATTATCTTTGAGGCTAATCTTAATGGAAAGAAAAGCTTGAACTAATGTTGTAGTACTATATTATTGATGAAAAAATTAAAATGTGTTATTCCTTCATGCTGCTTTCCAAACTAGATCAACAATGCATGTAACAGGTGAGGTACAAAGGGGAGTGCAAACATTCACAGTCAGAGTTATATGATAATTAAATTTTAAAAGGCAGACCATTATCAAATACTGTAACACTGATAGCACATGTCACTGAGGAACCAGTACATCATTAGGACATCATTTGGTACATTTGATATTATATCTGATGTTAACAAAGTATCCTGCATAAAAAACCCTATGACGTTATAAATTTCAATAATGTTGGGCCTTAAGTTGCCTGTCCATGCAATTTGTGCTAGATAGCAGTCATTTTGGGTCTCTGAATGTCAATCTAACATAGCAATCTGATAAATATTATGAGAGGTTTTGAAGCAAATTGCCCCATCATCCCTCATTTAATTTTGATTATTAGTATCAACAATTTCAGTTATTCATATCAGCAACTTCTACAGAGCAGTTAAATGAGCCAAAGCCAAAACAGTCAACTTAAGTTTGCTGGTAAATGTATTTCAAGGGGGGTGATGTATTTCTTTCTTGACAGATGTCAGTGTTTGGCCTTCCTGTGAATAATTAGACTGGTGACAAAATCACATTTTCAAATTCAAGATGAAGAATGAGGGGGAAAGTTTAGAACAGTATCAACCTGGTATAGAGGGAGTTGGCAAACATAAGTCTAAAAGGTTATCTAGATTTTAGTTGAACTATCTGTAACACTTATATTCTTATTTCACACAAAAAGTATCATCTGGGTTCTAGCAAAGCTTTCAGATCATGGCAAGAAGTTGGAGAGAGGGGGAGAGGGACTAACAATGAGTTGCTAAAATCAACAATAAGTCAGTTGTGCTGGGAAAAATACTTCCAAAGCTGACATCACAGCTGATATATGAGGAGTTCTAATTGTACACGCCCCCAGGGGAACAGGGCATGCCCAAGACAATGGAACAGATGAGGATAACAGATCTGAAAGAATCAAGGCTGCCAAAAAAAAAAAATCAAGCAAGGAAGAGTAACCCTGAAATAAAAGGGAAGTAGGAAGAATTTATCTTAATGGGCAACCAAACTACCTTTTAAAGAGGATCAGCTATGTGGATCCACTCAGAGTCTTTCTTTGATATAATTTGTATATTTTTTATGATTTGTATATTAAGATTTACATTAATATCAGATTTTTACCAAGTGTTTTGGTACTAATCTTATCCTGCAGGAAAAGTAAAGTTCTATTTTAAATACAAATGTAACCCATACATTTTGTCTTAATATTTAAAACTTACATTCTAGTTTAATGGAAGGTAGTTCTGTCAAAATAAATATTACACCTCATTTATCGTTTGGCCTTGAACCAGACTGAACATTTACATTAGTAATATTTCTTAGCCCTGATGGGTTGGCCAGTCAACCTTCTGAATTGGCTCTAACCTGGGATTTTAACTTCCAACTATAGCTGTGACCATTATTCACTGGAAATGGTGAGAATGAAAGAGAGTTTCTTGGAAACTTCCCCTACAGTCACGAAGTATTAGATTCAGAAAGTTTCTTGGCAAAATTTGTTTTTGCTCATTTCCAGCAAAATCACTTATATCATAAGACTGATGTACATCCCCTAGGAAGCAACTGGATTTATCTGGCATCGTTTTCTTTAAAATAATTTTTACACTAGAAATGAATGTAAAGCTCCTTACATATACACATACCTTAGTTTTGATCTCATTGATAGTTAAATTAATTTCTAAAACACTCTGAAATATTTTTGTGGCCAGATTATGCACTGTGAGCCCACCTATTCAATATGTAAAAATAGCTTTCTTACACAAGAGCCTGAGTCATTTAGAAGGAGAAATTTAAACAGAATCATTATCAAAAATTCCTAAATGCAAAATGAACTATTTTTGCTGAGACATGTGCATGTAAAATGTGAAGCTGCAGAAGCAGTAGAAAAATATCACAGTGGATCAGAAGTTATATCTACAGAGCACTTCAGCAGATGTGTTGTGAGACAGTCATGCTGTGAATTGAGCAATTGATTGTGCACAAGCACAACATGAACCGTGCAACTGTGAACAACATGATCAGTTGAATGATCATGATGTGAACTATGTGATTGCACAATGTTGACTGCCTGAGTGTAAGGACCAACACACTTCTGCAGGTGAAACTTTACATTACACCAGGTTGAACCGGATTTCAGGCAGTGATTGAAGGGTGTGATAGGACTGTAATTCTCTATTGGATTATATTATTTAATATAGTCTCCTTCCGCCAAACAGTTATCACTCCCTCTGGCCCATTTTAGGTGGCTCTTAAAGATTTGTCTTCATTATGCAATTTTAAAGGCTCTTTTGACCCTTTAGCGCATATGTATCTTGCTTTTGATCTTACAGACAGCTTCAAGTCTATGTTTAGCTATGCATTTATTAACATGTAGGTTACAGTTCGGTCACACAACTTTCTCAGATCAACCACATCTGTACTTGAGTTTATTTGCTTAGCTTTAGCAGAAGAGGCAAGAAAACCAGAAAAACTATGAAATAAAAGGCCTTACTATACTGTATGAACCACCCGACAAGACAGCAACCTATAGCAAGAGGTCAGGAGATAAACACTGTCTTGGAGAAATCAGTTTCAGTTCTATTTCTCAGTCTTCAAGAGAACTAAATAAACATTTTTGCCAGATGTGAAAAACTTCCAAATAAAGAGCAAAAAAGAAAAAGTACTTTTAGAAACTTTTAAAAATTCTGACATTTCAACAGTCAGAGTACATTAGAAAATACGTCAGGCAGGGAGAGGCATTGAAGCGGGCTGCTGCCTTGTTGCCAATTTGCTTCTGTGGTCCACTGTGGTGCCCATTTATATTTAACAAAATCTGACAATCTACACTTTGGCTAATGACAAATATTTAATAGTCAGAGATCATTTAGAAGTATAGTATTATTATCCTATACATAGCCATTTAGTATGTAATCAGTAATACTACAAGTGAGAAGTATCTTGGAATTGTTGTAGATCAGAAGCTTAATATGAGCCAACAGTGCAATATGGTTGCAAAAAAAGCAAATGCTATTTTAGGCTGCATTAAGACCAGTGTAGTCTTCAAATCCTGTGAACTACTAATTCTGCTTTATTTAGCACTGGTTAAGGCTCATCTTGAGTACTATGCCCAGTTCTAGACACCACACTTTAGGAAGGATCCCAGCAAACTGAAGCAAGTTCAGAGGAGGGTAAAAAGGAGGATTGGAGGACTGGAAAGCCATATGAGGAAAGACTGAAAGAACTGTGCATGTATAGCCCTGAGAAAAGAAGACTGGGAGGAAATGTGATAGGACTTTTCAAATACTTAAAAGGTAGTCACACAGAGGAGTGACAGGATCTGTTCCCAATCATCCCAGAGTGCAGGACATATAATAATGGCTTCAAGTTATGGTGATTCAGTTTTAGGCTGATTATCAGGAAAAACCTCTTACTGTTAGAGCAGTACAGCAATGGAATCAATTACAATGGGACATGGTGAGCACTCCAACACTGGAGGCATTCAGGAGAAAATTGGACAACTGTCTGTCAGATCTGCTTTGATTTGGATTCATGTACTGTATTGAGCATGGGGTTGGATTCAAAGGCCTTATAGACCCTTTCCAAATCCATGATTCTATGATTTTATTATTCAATCCCATTGTTGACCCCCTCCTCCTCAGTAAAAATGCTTATAGCATGGAAAATAATGTCAGCTACTGTCTAAGATGAATTAGTATCATGCATAATTATAGGGGGGAAACCCTGTTATTTATTCTTAGGAATCAATCAGTGATTTCTACTGGTACTACTCTGGAAAAGATGTAATTGATGAATCTGGACAACGTAACTTCTCTAAAGCATTAGCTGTGACAAAACAGATTTTTAATTCACTTACTGAATATATCCAAGTAAGTAGTGCTTATTTCTCTCTGTTGGGTACTTTTGTGCACATAAATGTGTATAGGGGGTAATGAGTTGATTCTTCTTCATGGCCTCTGTGAACCCATACTGCTGGGCATCCTTGCACCTGCACAGAACATTCCAGTGTTTTGGCCAAAGCTCAAGCCACGTTTTTGCAAATATTTATACCTGTTCCCCCAAAAATCCCTCAGTTCCCTCTTCAGTCCTCTGCCTTTCCTGAGTGCTGATGAGATTAAACCATTCTTGGTTGTTCCCTCCTCTCAACATGTGAATAGACCTTCATAGAAGGTAAGTCAATGTCCCATTTCCTGGCATCATTCCATAATTGTCACTCTCTATCACACACAGAGCCTTATTTTTTGGAAGATTGATGATTTCCTCCTCAGAGTCTATGCTGTCTACATTCTTCCCCTTACATGTGGGAATGATGATTACTGTCTTGATATGAATGAGTCCATTTCTGTTATGTTGATATTGATGACCCAGGGTGCCATACACAGTCATGGCATGACTGGGATCTCTATAAAGGAAAAGGTTTAAGCCCATTTTCTCATTATCACTGCAGACACTACTTTCAGCTGATATCTACTGTATCATGACCAAAGACGACAGATACTTTGGTTTAATCTGATCTGTACTTAATGTTCTTGCTGCTGAAAGTCACTGACAATAATATGCAATCGATACACCAGCACTACTGATACTACCAGTGGCACTTGTATCAGTACCTGTGCTATCTTCACTATTATGTGTAATTCAAGCCGTATCATCCATATGTCCAGCCCTGAGGAAAATCACCTACTTTATAGATATAGATAAGAGCTGTGAGTTAGTCTTTAAACATCCTATACTGAACCCAATAACAGCAGACTGAGGAAGAATACCAGAGAAAGTCTAAAAATAAACTCCCTTAAGCTCCAAATGATAATGAAGGAAGAAAGTTGAATGTTTTGGAAGACAACTATACTCATCTGCTACCTTTTTCTGAAGATCTCTTAACTACAAGGCTCTCATGGAAGCCCATCAGCACTACTTCTCAACGTATGACTGGAATGCAACAATTGAAGTATATGATTTTTCAAGAAGAACAGAAAGAATAGAAAGGGAGGTGGAGTCTATGTAAACATATATATTCCAGCACAGAAATACAATAACTGTGGCAAAAATTAAAAAGCTTCTGTCCTGCAACCAATATTGTTCAATGTTTGTATAAATTACTTTTATAAGAGATTTGAAAGGAATACTTATGAAGTGTGCAAATGACATCAACCTGTGAGGGTTAGTTAATACCTTGGAAGACAGAATGAAAATTCAAGATGAACGAAACTGATCAAGGAATTGGGCCAAAACAAACAAAATGAGATTCAATGGGAAAACTGGAAGTTCTGCATTACGGTAGGAAAAAATAGGTGCATGAATATGAGTGACAACTGGCTTGGCAGTATTATGTATGAAAAGAATATGATGGTCTTCACAGACCACAAATGTGAGTTAACAGTGTAATGGGGCAGCTGAAAAAGTAAATCCAATATTTGGTTGTGTCAACAAAAGTATAGTGTCTAGGTCAAAGGAACTAATATATTATCATCCCATTCTGTTAGTGTGATGTAGAGCCAGCACAGAGTGTACAGCCAATGTAGATTATACTGGATAGGTTGTCAGACTAAGACTCAGGAGGCCTGGGTTCAAATTCCCACTTGGCTATAAAAATTCTTGGGGGTGAGTGGAAATGATAAAATCACTCCTTAAAATATCTTTTATACTTTGAAAATCTTGTTAGGTTCACTATAAGTTGGAAGTGACTTCATGGGACATAATACACACATTGGTCAGATTTCATTGTGAATAGTTTCTCAAGTTCTGGGCCTCACAGTTTAAGGAGGATATCAACAAGCTGGAACAGGTCCAGAGAAAAGTGGCAGGGATTGTAAAAACTATGGAATCCAAGCTCTGTGCAGAACAGTGGAGGGAACTGGGAGTGTTTAGCCTGGAGAAGACTGAAAGGAAATACAATAGCTGTCTTCAAATATTTGAAAGACTGTCACATAGGAGAAGGAGCATTTTTTCCCTACGTCTCCAGAGATTAGGACCTGATGTAATGGATTCAAATTATGAGAAATGAGATTCCCTGCAAACATTAGGAAAAACTGCTTGACATAAAGAGTTATTTGGCAGTGGAATACACTGCCTCACAGAGTGATGGATTCTCCTTCACTTGAACTTTTAAAACAGAGTTTAGAAGGACGTCTGTCAGTGGCTATTTTGGTATCTCCATTGCCCCCAGAGTAATTTAAAATGCATGTTGGTAATGAGAGCTCACATTGCATTGCAAGGCATACTTATCTATTCTTATATCAACAAGTAGCGATTGTGAATTCTTTGAAAAGTCGTTGATTTCATCTGTGTCCATTTAAACTCCAGGAAAATAGAAGTCATGTTGCTTACTTCCAAATACAGTGCATCACCTCATCTCAAACAAGCGGTTGAAAGATGCAGGTGCATTAGGCCTTAAAGCCTCCACAGTGGCTGTTCATCTGTTTTCCAGACTTCCTTGCTGGCTCATCAGAGCCTTCCAGTGAGTCAAGGAAAATAAAGATTTCTCTACATATTCACGTATTCAGAAGTTTCTCCATTGTTACACCTTCATTCATGTAGTCCATTGGAACATGGATTTTTAGAGAGAAAAAGCCATTCATAACAATAGATATCTTCACAAAAAGATGGGGAATGTATTGTCTCATATACAAATACATGGAATATGGTTATCAACGGAAGCAAGGATGCACATGTACTAGAGCTTCCAATTGTCCTTACTGCCTTTCAAGCCTTCCAGTTTCTTCTCACCCATCAGATTGTCCAAGCAATACCATATATCAAAAACAAGATGGCACAAAGTTCAACATGTTTATGATACGGTATTGGTTGCACACTTATAGACTGACGTATCTAAAATTACATTTTGCCCATAGCAGAACCTTTACTTAGTGAAGATAATATCAAGACAAACATTCTCATTCCCAAACTCACCCTGAAAGCAAGAGGGAGTTATACCTTTATTAGATCACCGGG